ATTGCAGGCCCGGGCCACTACGCTGAGCTAATTTTTTTGTATTTTTAGTAGAGACAGGGTTTCACCATGTTGGCCAAGCTGTTCTTAAACTCCTGACCTCAGGTGATCTTCCCACTTTAGCCTCCCAAAGTGCTGGGATTAGAGATGATTACACATTCCTTTCTCTCTGAGGCATGCAGGTAGAATCGTTGCATATTCAAAATGTTTGAGTGAAAGAAGAAGTTCTGCAGATTTGACATGTTTTTCTACATGTAGGCAAAGGTCAATATTTGGATTAACTCATCTAAAGACGTTTGTAGCTGCAGCTTTTACTTAACAGGTAGACAAATAACATTGAATAGGAAAAGTTCATAGATTAAATATTGGTTGAAAAAAATGGGGGACGGCTAGTTTTTGTATCTCATAAAAATGGTAATGCAACAATTAGCAGGGTCATATTATGAAGCACAGACTTTAGCTTAATGGATCTAAGGATAAGCATTTATCAGCAAGGAAAGATTTAGCATAAAACGACATGTAAATGAATTGATGACTGATCATAAATTAATTTTAGTGCTGAAGATGTAATAGAGACACAGCAAGATGCCACTTTATCATGGTATTTCACTGCTCAGTAACATTCGAGCAACAACTTAATGTCCTATGTGCAGGACTACTTTAACAGCTTGAATACATTTGAGATTTTTTTGTGGCCTTTCTGCAATTTAAATCAGGGAAATTTGGAAAGATTGAAAATGTAAACACAAATAAATTTGGCTATCTGACATAAATTCATTTTTCATTAAACATTTAAATATGTATTGATTATGTTTGGGGTTAAAACATGTCAAATTGGTATGGAGTGCTTATAATTTGTAAGAAGCCTCTAGCCGAATTGGTTTTACCTGGTGTTCATTTTAATTTTCATGTTTATACTTACGTTTATGAAAGAAAAATCAGTTATCGCAAAAGTGACTTACTTTTAAATTTGTGAATTCATGTTTTTATTTTTGTTCATTCATTATCTTTTACTTCTCTCTCTCTCTCTTTTTTTAGAGGGGTAATTGTTTACCTAGATCTTCAGCTCATTGTTCATGTTTAAATCTCAACATTTTTCCTTTTTTTAGAAAGGCCACTAAGAGGTAAAATCAGTGGATGTTCAATATATTTTAGCCATTTTACAGAAAGAATTTTAATATTTTATATACTATTTGATTTATGGAATGTGGCCAAATGTCTTTTAAAAATATTTACCATAGGTATGCGCATTCCATACATCTTAACCAAACTGTGGAGGAAGGGATGTCGAAGATACCAGACAGAGAGGTGGGGAGATGAAAAGAAGGAGAGAAAATTTCTTTCCATGTTCCTTGCCCTCCGTTTTGAAGGCAAACACAACTACACTAACATGAGACACTTCCGTCTCTTCGGATTGGATCATGAGATTTCCTGTTGCCTGATATGGCCAAGTATCTGTGGTCACATATCTTGAATTCTGAAGTTATCTATCTTGTCTCTTACAAGATAGTACAAAAGAAAGAATAGCTGATGTTCTTTCTGTATTTACCAATACTCACTTGAAGCCCAGTCTTCCATGTTACTCTCTTTTCCCAGAGGGAGACAAAAAGCAGCAGAGAAAACTTGTTGAATAATTGGGAGTTTTAAGGACATACAAGGAGCACTAAAGGCTGGGAGAGAGGCAGAGCAAAGACACAAACGCAGGAAGTAGACCATTTGTTTAAAGTATCACAAGTGTGTGTGTGGAAATGCTCGGACGAAGGACTGGCAAGTTACCACAGGGAGATAAATGGGATTATTTGAGGCAGAAAGTTAGGCTGATTCTCTGCTCGGAGGTCTCACAGGATATAATTTCTTCAGTGCTACTACTGTAGTGTAGGATTTACTGATTTCACCTCTCAGTAGGTACACAGTCAGTTTTATAGGTTCAGAGACCAAATGTGTCAGTCTGCTAGATCCTGAGGCTGGAATGACACAGCAAGCAGACGTAGACATGAAACCAAAGAAACTCCACTATTTTTAGGCTGGTTATAGTGGAAAAATAAAAATTTTAGAAAACAACTCACTGGGCCAAGTGCATTAAGATGGATAAACATGGATGGAAAATTTACACTCCAAAGAAACTAAGCTGCCACTTAATGTAAATTTTTTATCTTAATTTAAATAAGATATTGCTAAATATCAATATTTAAGTGTATCAAAGCATAACCAATACACACATATATATCACATATCTATATACTATTTCTCATTATATTCCTTATTTAATAAACTTTCTAAGAGTTCCTATGAGAAAATTCTTTCTATTGCTAAGAAGTTACACATCAAATAATGTCATACACAGAATTATAGAATAATGAAAAAGTTGAATGCATTTAATTCCATATGCCTACTGTTTATTGAATTTCTAATGTAAAATGTCCCTGAACAAAAAATATGAAAATAAGTATGAAATAGTTCCTAACCTCCAGAATTCCATTGTCTAGGAGAGGAAACACATGTGCAGCAGACCATAATATATAGAGAGAACTGATATGCGAGTTTATGTGTAGTGTTTGGAAACCAAAGGAGGTAGAGAGATGGATTCTCTCTATAATAAGATAGAATTAAGGTGATAACAGAAGTGGCATTTAATTTAGACTTTAAAGTTTGTCAGTGGTTAATAGTGTTAGTGGCAATATCTCTGTGTAAAGAATGAAAGATGATGTTATGTAAATGAGCAAGGAGACACACAGGCTGTAAGAGAGTGAATGAGGACTAATACACAGCAGGTACATTAGTCTGGTTTCACACTACTGTAACGATATTACCGGAGACTGGGTAATTTATAAACAAAAGAGATTTAACTGACTCACAGTTCCGCATGGCTGGAGAGGCCTCAGGAAACTTACAGTCATGGCAGAAGACAAAGGGGCATGTCTTACATGGTAGCAGGAGAGAGAGAGAGCGAGCAGGGGAAATGCCAGACACTTATCGAACAACCAGTTCTCATGAGAATCCCTCACTGTCGTGAGAACAGCCTGAGGGAAACCGCCCCCATGATCCATTCACCCCCACAAAGTCCCCCCCTTGACACAGGGGGATTACAGTTCGAGATGAAATTTGGGTGTGGGTGCAGAGCCACATGCTATCAGTAGGCTAGGCTAGATATTGAAGAGTTGCAAATACTGAATTAGCAGTTTGGATATGGCATTGGCTAGCTGGGTAAGGCTTTAAACAGAGGAACACATGTATGTAAGTGCTTCACAAAGATAGTGCGGAAAGCAATGAGGAAGACAGAAGAGATGAGAATGAAATTAGGTAGGAGGAGTTTAGGAGTGAAATAAGGTGAAGATTAAAGAGACGTTTCTTTGGACAGTAAGAGCCGGCATTTAGAAATACAGAAAACAGCACAGGGAAGGGAGTGAGCTTCCAAATGTTTTTAAACCATCCTCAGTTCCAGAGTTTCGTATTCTTTTGTGACCGCCTCACTGAATGTCTTTGGTTTTTTTTCTAACCTAGTACAGCATTATATTGCAAAGCCCACTGCATCATTTCTTCTTTCATTTTGGATTGTTGGTCCTTGACTTGTGGTTATTAACCCAGAAATGATTCTCTCAGAAGAGGCTCAGTTGCTGGTGTTATCTTGACTTCCTTGCAGTGGCCTGTGTCAAGGGAATTTGTTTGAAAAGTAAAAAGTGTATCTCTGTGCTTTTGGCAACCAGAATCAAAACTCCATCTTTCTTTGCTACACTTAACACCCTTTTAACTTCTCAGATCATTCTAACCAGTTCAGCTTCTGTTTTCTTGGTATTGAAAGTGCACGAATCCGTGTCATTGGATCCTGGCCCCTTGACCAAAATTACAAATACTGCATCGGGGCAACACTCCTAACTATTCTGTAGTCGCTTAAATATTAGAGAAAAAATAAATAAATAAACGGTCTATAGCATTTGACTTTCATCTCCTTTATGTAAATATGTATTTGATTTATTTCAAAATCTGAAATTAGTTTCTTACAAATACTTTTTGCTCCTCTTCTAACAAAAATAGGATAAGCAATACTTGGTAGTTTTTTGTGTCATGAATTAATGGTATACCAACATGAATAAATCTTGTAATATTAATTTTATTAAGTAGGAGATTATGTTGTTTGTTTTTGTCTAAGAAAATATATAAAATTATAAATGACTTGCTAGAAAATCAAGAAAAAATGTTTCTGAGTATCTTCACAACTTACAGCTCTTTAAACATAAAACTAAATTTATTTTCCTCTATTCCCATGTTGCATTTTGCAGAAAAAATTCATGTTAATGCCGATGATAGTCCTTATAAATGTTACTTTTTAACATAAATCTTAGTACTAAAGAGAAAACTGGAGTTCTTAAATAACTTAAAGGGCAAAGTAAGCAGAAAGAGCATTTAAATTAATAGAACTTCTTTAAAATACATTTATCTTATGTTATAAGTTCATTTGCTTTGATACTGTTTATACGTTTTTTGTTTGTGAATTTTTGTTGTTATTTGTAATTAAGTTTCTATTTTAAAATCTTGAAATAATTTTTGCCTTTTATGATATAGTGTAGTTTCTATGCAGATTATCTTTGGAGTCTGCATTAAATTCAAAACATATTCACACTATTTCTTCAACTGAGTCTGTGATGAGTTTAAGAACACTAAGTTTGTTTTACTGAAAGTGTTCATTTCTGAATTATAGTAGCTTAAAATGTACATCACAACTCTCTTTTGGAAAATGATTGTGTAATGGTTTAAACAGTGTAAGAGGTGAACAGTACAGCACGTGCTTTGCTTATGTGTTGCAAACAGATACAGATTTTAAATGAGCTTCTTTCTTCTGCACAAAAAATGTTTAAAATGTACCTGATACTTGTATTTGGCTAAAGAAATCATGATGAAACTTCAAGGAAGAAGCGAGGACAGCCTACTTGCTCGTTAGTATAGTGTGTACAGCAGATGAGATTTTCAATATCTACAACTCACTAGACCACTACATTTGTTTTTAGGTTCAATGGTAAATGGATGGGGCTCTGCATCTGATGAGGATCGTAACTTTTCTAGTCATAGATCTAGTGTAGGTAGCTCCTCCGATGGCTCTATCTTTGCCAGCGGCAGTTTTGCACAAGCACTGGTGGCAGCAGCAGATAAAGCTGGTTTTAGGCTGGATGGAACCAGCCTTACAAGAACAGGTTGGTAGACTCCAAGTCAACACTCTTTGCATGAGAGAATCTTGTCCTTGGACACTGACCTCTTTTCTCCTGTTCTTTCCCCTTAGTGAGTCTGACTGTAGGGCTTTCTTTAATGTGCATGAACACAATTTGGATGCTCCATTACCAAAACTCTCTTCTGATGCTAGTTTTGCAGAGCCAAGAAAAGACTCCGCCTCTTTCTATCTCTGATTTTCCTTTCTCTTCACGGCTTTGCTGATTAATTGGAATAGGCTTCCTTTTTATATTACAGCAAAGCAGCAACTAAGATTGCCATTCAATTTTCAATAACTCACACTTTGCAAAATCCTCACACAATTAATGATGTACCCAGTGATTAAATTTACTCAGCTTTTATCTCCATTACTTTCCTTTGCCTCATCTCTTTCTGCAAATGCATTTTCTGGGAAGGTTTCCTTAGCATGGGGTAAATGGGTCTAAGGCTGTTGGTCTTACCAGTTCAAATGGCTTATGGTCTTATTAATCGTTTGGCTAGTAAGATTTTAATACGATAATTTATTATTTGTCTTAAAGGATGCTAATTAAAGATACACCTACTGCATTTGCAAGTTGAATAAAATAATGACTACATGTGTATTTCTCTTTAGGGTAATTTAATTTTGATTTCTGAGAGTGGTAAGTAATCATATAAAAGAACAATTTTATAATTTTTCAAGTGCTCCCCATTCCACAAAAAAGAATGTGGGATTAATAATAGATCAGTAATTTGTAAATATTTGAAACAAAGTAACTTAGGCATGATGCGTGCTTTTATATATGTATGTATAATTCTTAACTATACATATAAGAATATTCTAATATATGAATTAAACTGAACTTCCTTGCAAAACAAACTAATAAAACATTAAGTACGTTTGCAAAATCTTAACTGTTATCAAATAGTAAAGAAAAATGATTTTTACCCTTCTCTAAACTCTCAGGTTATAAAAATGAGTCATGGAAGTTTTCTTGGAATTATACCACCAATATTTCTTTTGAACATACATTAGCTATCTTTAAATGAAAGAAAAAATATCTTCTAAGCATTGCAGAGGTTTATTTTTCAAATAGCATCCAAACTAAAATATGTTATAATAGAACTGTTATTTGAATTGTCTTGCATTGTAAGGAATAAGTCTGAAACTTTATGTTGCTTGAGTGCTTTTTGTGGCATTAGCTGTAAGCAGAGCAGTGAGAACGTGCAAGGAAACTAATACATTAGAAAGCATAAGTGCATTTCTTGCATGTATGCTAATAGCTAATAAAGCATTAAGTAATATCCTGTCACAGCGACTTAAGAAAATGTAACTACATACAATAATGTTGTATGAAATGAAAACATACACAGGAGAGTAAATACATGCACATAAACCAGGCCTCTGTTACTCTAATAAACATGGCATTAAAATTGTAAGGTGTTGAAAATTTATTAGCTAACCCTTTCCCAGAATAGATTTCCCTGTACACCTACTCTAAACCACAAGAAAAGGACACAGCACATATCACTTTTCAATGAGAACTTGGAGGCTGCTCAGATACCATAACATTCACCAGAAAATACCTATTGCACGCTGGGTATACAAGGTGATTTTAACCTGCTGTCCTCTACACAGATGTTACTGAGTTTATGCCAAAAGAGATAGAAGTCATCGTGTGTGTGCATAAGTGGTAAGGTCAATTTAACATATGTGTCTGAGCAGACCTTTCATGTAACATTTCAGATGTAATTACCATATGGCATTTTTCTGTGTTCAGAGAGATTTTGTAAGTTTCCAAGGATGAAATTTTATTAAACAAATAAAACAGTATATACTTCATAGATAGCTTCTTTAATTTTAAGAACTAAAAGCTGCATGAATTTGCATACATCTTTGAAAATATCACTAATATTGTCAAGGTTAAATAGAAGTATAATCATGCAATATTGAGTTTTGGATTGGTGAATCTGTTTTATGTTCATTTGTTTGATTTTTGGGGAGGGTCAGTGGGGGTGTTGTTAGCTTATTAAAAATTGAACAAAATACATGCACCTAAGAATGTAGAAAATATATTTTTCTACAGAGATGCACCAATATTTGCTATCTTCAAGTGTTATCTCTAGGTAGATTAACAGGTTAGTCATAGAGCAGGAATACAGGACAGAATCAGCAGGCTATAATGACATTCTCTAGAACCCATTCCCTTTATTTTCATTTTAGGAAAAGCCTTTACCTCCTCTCAAAGACCTCGACCTACCAGCCCATTTTCTACTGACAGTAACACCAGTGCAGCCGTGAGTCAAAGTCAGAGGCCTCGGCCCACTAAGAAACACAAGGGAGGGCGGATGGACCAACAACCAGCATTGCCTCATCGAAGGGAAGGAATGACAGATGGTAGGTTTCTTTCCTTTTCCCTCGTTTTCTCACTGAAGAGACATGCTCCATGCAGTCATGTACTTAGATTAATGTAGTCATGGTGGCTTAGCCATTGCCTCATTACATAACAAGACAAACCTGGCAATATGGTCCTGTTTAAATAAAACACCATTTTTAAAAACAATCTAGAATTATTTCTGTTATTAAGCCTCAAGAAATACATGCCATACAATTTTTTGAGGTTGATTTTTTTTTTGCCATTCTGGCATCTTTCATAAATGCTTTTTAGTGAGCATTTTACTTTAAGAGTAGGAAAGAAAACATAAGCTGCATGTGCATTTATATTGTCAGAAATTTTATAATATTAAATTACAGTATCTTAGCTGGTGTTTCACTTTTGGAAAAAAAGACTTTTTGAAATGATATAGTAATTTTTTAGTCACAAATTTCAGAGCCAAAATCAGGCTACAGGTCATGTAGTTGAAGAGTGTCTTAGTCTGTCTGGATTGCTATAAAAAACATAGAGTCCTGCATTGTACGACAACGTTTCGGTCAATGACAGACTGCATGTGAGACAGTGGTGCCATAAGGTTAAAATGCTGTATTTATGCTCTACCTTTTTTGTTTAAATACACAAATATAACACCATTGTGTTATAACTGCCTGTAGCACGCAGTACAGAAACATGCTGCACAGATTTTTACCCCAGATCAATGGTATGTAGTCAGCTATCCCATCTAGGTTTGTGTAAATACACTGCATACCACTTGCATAACAACGAAATCACCTAACACCACATTTCTCAGAACTTATCTCCATCATTAGGTAACACGTGACTGTACCATAAGCTGGCAGATTCCGAACAACAGAAATTTTCTGCACAAATCTGGAGTGTGCAAAGTCCAAGATCAAGGCACCGGCAGATTTGGTGTCTGGTGAGGACCCACGTTCTGGTTCACAGAGGGTGCCTTTTCATTGTGTGCTCACATAGTGGAAGGGACAAGGTTCTCTCTGGGTGTGTCTTACAGGTGCTCATCCCTTCAGGAGGACCCCACCTTCATTACCTAATCACCTGCCAAAGGCCCCACCTCCCAATATCATCACATTGGGGATTAGGATTTTAACGTATGAATTTTGGGGGTACACAAACATCCAGACTCTAGCAGAGGGTCAGAAAACTTCTTCTATTAAAGTCTAGATAGTAAATATTTTTGGCTTTTGGGACATATGGTCTCTGTCACAACTACTCAACACTGCCATTGTTGCATGACTGCAGCCATAAAAAAAGTAGAATAGGCCAGGCATGGTGGTTCACGCCTGTAATCCCAGCACTTTAGGAGGCTAAGGTGGGCAGATCACAAGGTCAGAAGATCAAGACCTTCCTGGTCAACGTGGTGAAACCTCCTCTCTACTAAAAGTACAAAAATTAGCTGGGCGTGGTGGTGCATGCCTGTAATCCCAGCTACTCGGGAGGCTGAGGCAGGAGAATTGCTTGAACCAGGGAGTCAGAGGTTGCAGTGAGTTGAGATCATGCCACTGCACTCCAGCCTGGGCAACAGAGCAAGACTCCTTCTAAAAAAGAAAAGACAAGTAGAATAATGGATATGACTGACTTCCAACAAAACATCATTCACAAAATGGGCAGTGGCTGGATTCGGCCCACGGTCCCTAGTCTGCTAATCTAGCTCGATCTTTTTATTTATATATAGCATCCAGTATTTGAATATTTGCTTAAACACTGTTAGTTTCAAGAAACACAATGTTACTGGAAGATATCCATGTTCGATAATGAGTATTTCATTAGCTTTACAGAATATAGTCTATTTCCCATATTTTTAATTTAGTTCTTATATCTTTTAAAGAATGAATTAAAATATATATACTGAAGTTATAGTCTAAGGATATGTAACACATACTTAAAGTGTCTACTACAATGTCAGATTGAAAGGTAAATTTCTTTTTCCTTTTTAGCACTATACCCTATAAGCGCACAAACATTATCCTAACATAGTTCAATTAAACACCAAAAGGATACACTTTTAAAAACTGCACAATAGAACCATCTGGAAAGCTCTAAAATATATCCTAGATATTCAGATTTGATTATTCTGGGGTGAAACCCAGTTACAGGTAATTTTAAAGCGCCACAAGAGAACCTGAAGTGTACCTGTCTTGGAGAAGCTATGACCGAGTCCTTAGCACACTTAACACTTACCATTACAGGACAGAATGAAGCTTCGTTGAAAAAGAAGAAAAGCATTTGTTTTTTATTCGTTTGGGGAAGGGAGTATCCAATCCCGCAGCCCTATTTGTGCTTTCTTTTGTCATCTTACAAAGGTAAGAGGACTTAAAAAGCCAAATAGATTTGTTCTACATGCTTTCCGGTTTACTTATCTTTCCTGCTTCCTTTGTTTTCAATGGAATATGAAGGTTTAGGGTACAATTGAGATTTTTGAGTCTCTGTAAATGGGTATCCTGTGGTGAGTAAAAATGTTCACCCCTGCCTTTCTGCTTAGATGTTCCAAAAATTAGCTGAGCACTTAAAACTGTTTGTAGCATTGATCTAATTCTTCGTAAATAAAAAAGGACTGCTGTCACTGAATTGCTAGTTATAAATCTAATAGTTGATAATTTTGTATTTTTTTTTCTGTTGTGAATATTGTGGAAAGAGAAAAATGTCTGGGTATAGAATTTTCTGTGGTTTTTCAGAAATGTTTGAAGATATTATTCAGAATATGTGGAAAATATAAAATATAAATCAACAAAATAGAGATTTTTTTTACTGAGACACTTTTATTGCAAGCTTTTTAAGAATGTTTCCTTAAAGCAAGCTGCCTCCTAGTTTAAAATATGATCAATATATTGCTTATTTTTCTAAAAAATAAATAAGTTTCTAAATTTTCAAATTTGCCAGCATCTCAAAAAGGGGTTATGGATAATGTGTTATTAGAAAATGATACATTTTAGAAGTAGCGATATAGCAAAGGAAATTTCAGCCCATGTATCTCCCCAAGTGCGTAATCCAAAGCCATTTTAATTATGATGTGGTGCAAAGACATTTATTTTGGATGATGCTTTACAGGTTATCCTTAAGCACACTGTTATTTTGCAGGAAATGCATGTGTCATAGCATTTATATGGTATGGATCTACATGTCAGCAATAATTTCATAACGTTTTATATAAAAATCATGTTGTTCTTTTTGGGAAGGCTGATGCCTAGCAGCATTGAGTGTACAGACATTTTACAATAAACCTTTTGCATTATAGATTTTACAATAGTGTTTGCTGTTTTCTAAGCAGTAATGTTAAAGATGTAGGCCTTTTCAGCACCGGGAACCATCATTTTCTAGATCAGACCTTTACGGTTTCTGAGGGGAAGACAGAACATGAGTGGTTGTTGGGAGGTTGTAATGGCAAGTGGCATCACTTCTCCTGTTTCATTGGCAACAGCTCTGCCACATGGTGTCAAACTAACTACTGGGGTGAGAAAGCAGCTTTCCCTGTGCCCCATAAGAAAGATTATTAGTGGCGGGAAATGTCAGTCTATATCCCAAAGACTGAAAAATCCCACACACATCTTAAAGGGTGTTCTTTTCCCTTTTGTAAGTTTCTCCAAAGCAGGCATTCCTGAGTCCAAATCTTGTATTCCATTTGTCTTATAAATCAAAGAATACCCTTGAAAGCCAATATATTGACCAGTGCTAAAAAAGGAAGATAGATCTGTTTACCCATCAACCTGTTTTTCCTAGATAATTTGTTTCCAGCCTATTCTTCCTTTCACCTAGCCTTTTTTTTTTTTTTTTTGAGAGGGAGTTTTGCTCCTGTCATCCAGGCTGTAGTGCAATGGTGCGATCTCAGCTCACTGCAACTTCCACCTTCTGGGTTCAAGCGATTCTCCTGCCTCAGCCTCCGAGTAGCTGGGATTACAGGCGTGCACCACCACAATCAGCAAATTTTGTATTTTTCATAGAGACAGGGTACCATGTTGGCCAGGCTAGTCTCGAACTTCTGACCTCAGGCTATCTGCCCACCTCCACCTCCCAAAGTGCCAGGATTATAGGCATGAGCCACCATGCCCGGCCCCTTTCCCCTAGTTCTTAATGTCCTGTTCAGAGAAGGGGCCCTTTCTCATCCCTGCCGCATACTAGCTTTGGCCTTTGAGCAAATTTACTTACTAGCGTTGGCCTTTGAGCCAATAAATTTACATATTTATTATTCACTCAAATACTTATTAAGCATATAACATATAATAGACAATGGGAGCCAAACAGACAAAAATCTCCTGCCTTTTTATATTGTAGTTAGGGAAGATAGATGAAGACCAACCTAAGCACATACATGAACATGTAAGTAAGATGGTGATAAACGTTATGGGGTAGAAACAAAGGGAAGGGAGTTGAGAAGTATAGGTGTAGGGAGGAAGTATTTTTAAGTAGAGTGATTGGGGAAGGCCTCACCAAGAAGGCAGCATCTGAGAAAAGACTGGAATAACATCAGCGAAAGAGTAATGCTGATATCTGAGGAAAGGTTATTCCGGGAAATGAGAATGGCAAGTGAAAGCCTGAGACTTATTTGAGAAAAAGGAAAGGGAACGATATGACTGGAGCAGAGAGAGAAACAAGATAGAATACGAAGTCAGGCAAGCAAACGAGGGCTAGTGTTTGTCAGACCTTTAAGCTACCATAATGACATTAGCTCTTACTTCGAATGGTAAACCACTGGACGGGGTGTGTATGTGTGTGCATGTGTGCATGCATGTGTGTGTGTTTAAGGCAGGGAAGTGACATGATCTTATTTGTTTATTTTTTAAAAAGTAATTCTAGCTGCTGTGTTGAGATACACTAAATGAGGCAAAGTGGAGATTGTGGAAGCTACCAAAGTGGAGAAGAGATGATGGTGGTTCATGCCGAAGGAGAATCAATGGCAGTGTTAAGAAAGGTTGGATTTTGGAGGTAGAGCTAACGGGAGTTGTTGTGAAATAAACATGGGCCATAAAGAAAGGAAACCACATTACTCTGAAATGTTGGCTAACTTGTAGAATGTAACTGTGACCAACCGAGAGAAGAAACACGGCAGAGGAAGCATATTTTATGTAGGATGATCTGGAGCTGAGTTTTGATACATGAAATTTGAGAAGCTTTCTAAACACCTAAGTGGAACTGTCCAGCGTAGATCTGGTTATATGAGTCTGGAGTGTATAGGAGGAAAGATCCAAGCTGGAGATTTTTAATTTCTTTTTGCCTTCATTTTCTTATCTGAAAACGGAAGGTAATAATGGCACCTATCTCATTGGACTGTTGTGTGCCTGAAAAGAGCTAATCCTCAGTAGGCCAGTAAGAGACTTTTTAGTGAATTGATTTGGTTGAAATGAATCAACATAGAAATGAGTAATAAATTTAATTTAAGTAAATGTATTTGATTACATACTTTTATTTTTCAAAAACCCATTCTTAATCCCATTTCTTTTTCCAATTAGTTTATTTCAATGTGCATGTAATGTCCTTTCTTCTTAAAATATACGAACTCCAAGGATATTTCTTATGAAGCTATATAATTTTTGGTTAAATTAAATAATAATCAGAATTTTAGCTAGCATAAGCAGATGCTGTTTTGGCCATTTTAAAAACGAAGCTGCTCTGATGGAGAATAAAAATCAATGACAAGATAAGTTATTTTGGAAGCAAATACAATCATTTCTGCTCACTGGCAGTCTAAGTTCAATAAATCAAATGAAATAATTTGCATTTATAATAACATATAGTGAAGGAAGTCAGTACTATCGAATATGAAGGAAACACCAAACTCATTGGATTATCCAACAAACAGATATCTCAATATTGGATTATTTCTTCATTTTGGAAAAATATTCCAAATGCAACTTTATCCTCCCAACCAGAGACCCTGTTCCCTTCAGTTATTAGCAATTCATAATTTAACATGAGGACACACGTAAGAACTGGCAATGCTGCTCCATCTTAGGAACTCAGAGGAGATGCTCCAGAGACCAACATTATCAGTTCAATGGAGAATAGTATCATTTTGCTCATAAAAGAGAGTATCAAGGTTCTTGAAGTCTTTGAAAGGAATGGCTTAGCTGACTGTTAAGGAAGCTATCTTTTGTCTACAAGAAATTTATACGTTTTCCTTCTAAATTTCACAAACAGAATGTTATTAGAAACAACAGAATACATTTACAAAAATGGCATCAGAAATAATTGACTATGTTATGTACAATGTCCTCTATTAATGAAATAAATGTGTATTTTATACGATATTTGGTCTTTATGAAAAAATAATATAATTACCAATATTCTAAGGATGAACAAAGAAGTTTACAATAACATGCAAGAAAAATGAGAAGAAAATGATCCAAATTGATGTTCAGAAGATTTCAAAATCTTCAGCAAAGTAATTTCAGAACTAATACATACTTAAAAGTGAAAGAAAGGACTATGATTTCACAATCGAAGACATACAAAATATAAAGCTATTATGATCTGAAGAGTTAATAAAAGAGAGATGAAAAGGGAGCTGATATTGGAACCTTAAATTTTTTCCTATCTGATATTTACTTTAAAGAGCTTTTCTGAAAAATTATCTCTTCTACTGTATCTCAAATTTCTGTGATGCATTGTCTTCTCTAGCACCATAAAACACATTCAATCTTTACTCTGAACATTGGTTATTACTTATTAAAATTAATACATTGGAAGATTATAATATATTAGTTGTAACTCATTAGCTAACTCATGAAACGAACAGCCAGAATTGGTTGTCAAGCAGAATGTTAATTGCATTTAATAAATGTTAGCTTAATGTTGTTAAATGTGCCACATACATGGGTAAAGGCATCATATCGTTCTGAATTTCCCGAGGGGGACATTCCCTTTGGATCCCTTTTGTTCTTGGGGCCTTGTGCTAGCACAGCTTCTGGAATTTCTAGTGATCTTATTTTGTGTCATGGTATTTCTTGGGGAAGGAGGGTTGGACAGTGGATTGAACATAAACAGTGAACTGCCCTTTACACCTTGCATGATAGCCTCAATATGCAACTGAAAACACTTCCCACATTTAACTGTTGAGCAACACTAGTCAATTTTGTTTCAATGATGCGATGGCCGAAAGACAGCAGAGAGAGCAATAATATGAGCTTTGGAAATAAACAGTTGACTTTTATTTTCCCCAAATTTCTTTTGTATGGGTAATACCTGTATGAGGGCAAAGATTTTCTTCAACGTGAACTGAAACCTGTATTTTTCATTAAATTTTAGTCCATTCTAAACATTATTCAAAATTTTTAGATCTTCCACCACCACCAGATCCCCCGCCAGGTCAGGGTCTCAGGCAGCAGATAGGCTCGAGCCAGCAGGCTGGTAACGTGGAAAACTCAACAGAGAGAAAAGGAAGCTCTCTGGAGAGACAACACGCATCCGCCCTGGAAGACACAAAGAGCTCACTGGATGGTCCAGCTAGAACCTCCCTAGAGTGGCAGCGGCAAACCCAGGAACGGATAAGCTCCACAGAACGACAGGAAGAGACACGGAAAGCCCCACACAGACAAGGGGTCGGATCAGGTGTGTCCTGCACAGTCCCAAGAAAGTGTGGACTGTGACCATTTCTTTTCCTACCAGGTATTCTAGAAAGGGCAGTTGTTTAAGGGCATCTGAGAAACATTTGCCTTCGATCAGTAATGGAATTTGGAATTCCTTGGCAGAGTTTTCCAGTACATGCCTTAAGGCTGATTCCGATGGCCAGTGTTCCTCAGTCAACCTCTCCACAGGGCCTTTGATCGCCAGAGACTTGCACGCTTCATCTAAACTGCTCAGTAGAAAATTTTATTTTTTGGCCTATTAATGTTTATATTGAGTACTTTAAAGATCGCTAAATTTAATCGTTTGTGTCAGTTTAATCTCTGCCTTCAGCAAGTTTGTTCATTTTGACTGAAGTAACCAGTCATTCGAAAGGAGAACTCACATCAAATAGGTGAATTCATTAAAATTACAAAGTTGCAGAAAAATGCCCCATCACAGACCCTCAAGTTAGATAAGGTTATACTGGGCGTGCACTTTCTCCAACTGTTAATCAGTTGATTGATTTAGTTGATTGTTAATGTGTCTATGGGAAGTGCTTTTTTATAAATCAAGCTTCCTGGAAATGTCACAGAAATAAATTTCATTGTTTGTAGTTAGATTTTTTTGGGGGGGCAGGGGGTCGCGGGAGGTGAGGAGCCTATTTTATAAATGTGTTTTCTGAGATATCTCTTCTCATGTCAGGATTCATTGAGTATTGAAACACACACATACACATACACACAATCTTTGAAAAAATATATTTTCACTTATTCATTTGGACTTAAAGTGTTCTAGATAGGCCTCTCTCCATGCATTTTCCGTAACTCCATTTTGACACAACTTGATGCTCAAGTTTTTGGAAAATGTCATTGGTGCAAGGGCCAGTAGATGACAATTTTAATATCTAGGTTTAGTGGAACATTTAGAAAGTTTACACCATTCAGGCTGTGAGAGAAAAATCATGTGGTTCTTGTCATTAGAGACTATGTAAGGGGAGAAATAGTAAATTCAGTTGGCATTAATCATAGAATAATAGCCCGTACATAGAAAGAAAGTGAAAAACAGAGGGGATGGGGTGTGGAGTGGGAGCAGTGAGAATAAAGAGGGAAAGAAAAAACAATTTTTGAACTATTAAGTGATTATTTGTAACATATGTCATGAGTTATTTGTAGAGAGAACAATCTGTAAAAAAAAAAAAAATTAGCATATTATTTATTTAAATGTGTGAGTTTCTCTTTTTCTTTTAAGGAAATACATAGTCCTTTAAATATTGTATTTCTGTCTCAAAAAGCAACATAAATTTTAAAAGCTTATTTAATTAACTAAGATATAGTTCTTTATTTAAATCAATTGAGAAAATGTTGCCATAATTTCAGCTGAAACAAAAACCCAGTTTCTTTAATCTTAATGGGAAAATTAAACTGGAGCCTTATTGAACTTTAGAAATTATTCTCAGATATGCTTTTGTTAAACAAACTGTAGTTCATTGTATTCAGCCCTCTTTTATAATGAATTTAAATTTTGCAAATAATATATAACATTGTGTATTTATCCCAAGATCTCTTTTCATTTAATTCTGCTTCAGTTCCTATTGTAGGAAATGTTGCTTGCACATAGAAATTTCTTTAATATCCGGTCCTGATTAAACTTCATAATTTTAATTTTACTAAAGAATGAAATGGTAAAGCAGGCCATTCACAGTGTAATATTTAAGAGGTTAGTTTGCCTCCATGTTGCTGTTCAACTTAGCCCTTGGGGTTTTTTTCTTTTTCAGAGGAGGCCTTGGTGCCCTATAGCAAGCCCAGTTTCCCATCTCCAGGCGGCCACAGCTCATCAGGCACAGCTTCTTCTAAGGGATCCACTGGACCTAGGAAAGCTGAGGTGTTGAGAGCAGGCCACCAGCGCAATGCCAGCGACCTTCTTGACATAGGATACATGGGCTCCAACAGTCAAGGACAGTTTACAGGTGAATTATGTAAGTGCTGTAGGTCGTTTAAAAGGCTGTTGTGATTCAGAAAGAATCTTGAGTTGATACCATTGCCATATTAAACAAATTTCAGGTTAATAGAAAATTTGCTCTGCTACGAAAACAATCAATTGCAATTTTCAGCAAGTTTGGTCATGACTTAGGCCATGGCTGTATTTATTGCTGTCCGTTTTTATAAATGTTTCTGCTATTTTAAGTTTGATTTATGCTATAAAAATTGTTTTAAGTTAGTCGATTAGTCTTAATACTTGTAAGCGAAATTAAATATAGTGTATTTGTCATTTTCTTTGCCTTTTTAACTGAACACAATAAAGAAAGGGAGACACTGGCCTTTTGGTAGTTTTAAAGAAACTCCTAAGGAATTCTTCATTTTCAAGTTGCTCTTCATTTATTTTTTAAATTTGGGTAGCCACCCTTGAAGAGTTGATCTTTGATTATTAATTAATTTGTAATATTTTGACTACAATAACATTTTATAAATAAATTTCCATTTATGAATGAAAACTGGCACAGTTAGTATAATTAATTTTCTAAATGTAAAATACTAGGTAATAGGGAAAGTTAAGAATGTCACAGCAAAAAATGTTGAGCTCCTTGTGTTAATTTCCTCAGGAAAGTTACCAATACAGCTTTTCATTATCAGAAATATATTTGCTGGATATTTTTAACTGCCTCTTTGAATTCTGTTTAAAAGCATTGCTGAGAAAACAGCCCTGTTTCTAATATTCTCAACCCCTTAACTGGTTATTGGACATGAGAAAGTAATCTGTCTTCCTAATCTATTTCCTCATCAGAAAAATAGCATTACCATTATCTTCACGTCACAGATTGTTTGGAAGATTCCATGAGTTAATGAAAAGAGAAATAATTTCAAAACTGTTAATTTCTTTATTGATCTCAGTTGTCATTGTTGTTGGCTATTGCCAATCTATGATTAAGATTTGTTTATAATTTTAATTTGATTCATAACTACTTGAATTTTTCTTTACCTTTTTTTTGAAGTAATGACAGATGCACAAGAGTACCAAAATAGTTCTATTGGGTGTTTAAATTTCCAAATTCTGTAGTGTTTCTTTTACTCGTTGATCATCTCCTTCAAGTAAAATTATTTAAGTTCACAAACTCATCTATCTGAATACCTTATTTTCATGGATTATCTGTTTGCTTTGCTTTTTGTTTTGCTGGTCAAAAAAGTAGAATGCTTAATTTACATTTTATTTCTATTTTTTTTTCTCTCTCTTTAGAGTAACTGAGAGGAGACATACAAAGCTGCTCTGAAGGACCACCAGGTCCGAACTCATGGAAGTGATGACACTAAACAGTGCAATGAACAATTTCTTTATTTATGTACTATTAAAAGAACTGTAAATGCAATGTAAAGACACACAGCCACACATATCCCACAGATATTTTAATTGTGTTCTTCTCTTAAGTACACCACCCACCTTAACTCTTTCTTGTCAGGAGTATATAAAAAAGAAAGAAAACAAAACTCGCCCTACAGGAAGAAAAGGATTTTCCTCTGTATATAATTTCTTTTGTGCATTGCTATGCAAGCTCACTCTTTTTAGCTCTGTTCATATTATTGTCTGTTCTTATTGGTCTCTTGTACTATATGTGAATTAATAGGCTGTGGTGCCATATATTAACTTTTAATTGTGTAACTTTTATGTTTAAATTTTGCACTGCAATTTTATTTGGTGATAAGCACAAGTCTCTACTCCTCGTGACATGAAGAAAAAGACTGAATGTGAAGGGAGTTTCTGTACTGTAAGCTAGATTGGATAATGATGGTTGTAACAAATCATGTTAGATGGTTTTCAGTTGGGGCGTAGAAATAGGAAGATGCAAAGGAACAATGGTGTTGGCAAAGTCTTCTTTGAATATCAGGGACTGAGTCAATAAAAAATAGTAGAAAGGTGGCTTTTACTATTGACAAAAGCAGGGGTCAAAAAAAGTAGTTTGTCTTAAGACTGAATATGCATTAAAGTATGCAGGTAGCAAAGATGTAATAAATTTGCTTAAAAAAAGAAATTAAAGTTTTATTTAGAATCCATTTTGCCTGTCATTGTAATTGACCCATCTGAGAATTACAATAAGCAAGAGGAAATTAAGGTGTTTTGCAAGAGCTGTATTTATATTACAGTTTTTTAAAAACATTTTCTGAATTATCATAATTAAGCTCTCCAACTCATTAAGTCAGAATGTAATATGAAGTTCCCCAAGGAAATGAACAAAAATGAACTCTAGAATATCTAGCAAATAGTTAAAGAAGCAATTTATTATTAGGGCATACTCGGGCTGTTTCCAAATATAAACTCTATTGCAATATCTTATTTCATCTTTCTAATACATGTACAGTACACACTAGAGGATAGAGCTGCATCACTTAAATTCATGACTTAAAAAATAATACAGTCTATATACAATTTGTGTTTTATTTGATTAAGAAGTGAAGTTTATGCCACCCAATGTATAGCCAAATTGTACGTGCTTAAAAAGCAGTGCTGAGAGTATGTTCAGTTCACAGTAAGTAGATTTATTGGAATATTTTGTGGTACATCCTCAGAAATTGGCTTCCGACTAAAATACGTTTGACCCATTTTGAATAAGGGAATTGAAAAGTTTAAAAGGAGAAAAAAAATGCATGTTTATAAACTTTTTAAATAAAACCAGACCTTGTAAGTGGACATTAATAATTGTCCTGCCTCATTTGTTTTCATGACTTTGACAACAAGAAGTTCCTGGACATTGGTCATGTATGCTCAGAATAAATGTGACTTTGAAATATGTGTTAGCTACTGTACATGTATAGTCAGTCAAGTAGAAGAGGACCTTCCTGAAATTCCCACTTGTGACATTTTCCCATGTGTTTCCTACACAATCTTAAATTTTATTTCTGTCTATACTTTCTCAAATTTTTCCTATGATAAGTTCAGTTGTTGGTACTCTTCTAAAAATGTTCAACGTAATTAGGATCAGTTCTAAAATATGGGACCCTTCTGAGTGACAATTCGCACTCCATGCATTATTGGCTCAGTAACCAATTTATGTCATGTCGTTATAACAAAGGGATGACATGATTAAATATTTCCGTCTTTTTTATTCCCTGAGACTGCATCAGCACAGGCAAGTAGAGAACGTAATGTTCTTCATGGGCCCCACCAGCTTTACGGTACCATGTAATTTATTTCTTCACTGAAGAGAAAAGGAATTCTGAGACACAGTTATTAAACCCTTTATCAACTTTCTACCATCAGTGCCTGAATTCTAATGCAGTGGGATTTCTCTGGGACAAAGAGACTGAGGAAGATGAAAAGTTTCTGCCAAGAGTGAATACATACTTATTCACAACTCTAGGATGTGAGGACTTTAAAGATCTCTTTATGCAGTTCCCTACTTAACCTCTTTCTATTTAAAGGCAAACAAATTTCGAAGAGGTTTTGTGTTCCCTCTTTGTGTTTCTCTATGACCCAGTTTAGTCTAAAACCTTAGTTCATTACATATAGAACACATAGCCTTTGATCCCTGGTAACTGGCAGGTGTAGGCGATTAATAAACCAAGGCTTCAAAGTGAAGTATGCATATGCAGATGACTTTTGGAATAATGTGGGCATAGCATCATACCTTCCTGATTGTCTTCAGCATCTAAAAATTAACTGTTACAGTTAAAATTCTGTCAGTGCAGACCTTGTGGTTACTTGGAATGTTCTTTTAGACTAGTCCATGTTGCCTATTACACCTAGTTTTAAACACATTGGGCAGTCACATTATGCACTCAAAATATCACCCTCAGGTAGATTGAGGGCAAGATGAAATGCTGTAGCTATACAAAGGAATTCAGAAACATTATTAGAAATCAAAAGCCTTTGTCAACTTGCTACATGTAAAAAGCTACTAATCAGTGTAGTCAGATGTCAACAGAAAAATACAAATACCTATGAGAGCCACAGCAGTTTTTCATTTCGTAGCCGATTCAATGAATGTGATTAGAAATTCACTGAGCTCACTCTTACAGGTCTACACGGAGGCCTGCATAAGGACTGCAAAAGGAAATCTGGGTGGGAGAGAATGTAATCTGATCTTGCACTCATAGGCAATGCTGCTATGTAGTCATGCCCAACACAAGCACAGCTTCATTCGTAACAGGAAAAGTCTTCCTTGGGAAAATAGCTGTATTGGTGCCCAAACTCAGGTATGCCAGTGTATGCAGGTGGAGTCGCCCCACCCCTCTTCCAGACATGTTCTATGAGACTTTTAAAATAAGGTGGGATAGTACAGGGGCATGAAAAGAATTGATTCCGTCACAGGATTTGAATTCAGTTCAATGGAGAATGTAGAAAATTCAAAACCAACATACAAGGTATCACACAACCAAGAAAAGTAAAACCATTGCAAGTTTACTTGCTTTGAGTACAAAACAGATTTAATGGTGTTCTCTGTCACAGTTTAATGCTCTCAGTATTTAAAGATGTTTTCAACAGGATTTGAATTGCAAGTCTGTAATGTGCTTTGATGGAACACCACCCAATTTCTATTCAATAAATTTATGTAATTGTCCATTGACAATCTAATGATAACAGTACCATTGAACTCTAAACTGTGGTTTATCTTCGCTACTGGGAAGCAAGTGTGCATCTGTATTAAAGATATGCAGAGACATAACGTTCACTAATTTGTTCATCTGCTTCTGTCTATTGTTTATGGAATTACATGGCAAGAACTGTTGTAAAGCAACATGTCTCTCCACATTATTTTAGCGGTGAAATTACTTCTGTTTTGCTTCTCTATAATGTGTACTTCAAATGAAACACCATCCTTTTTTTTAAAAACTGACGTTCAATTTACTAATTTTTTAAAAATCTCATAATTTCAAAAGCATTTGTTGTGATTTTAAAGTGTTGCAAGAAAAGGGATTTTGTGGCCGTGGGTAGACTTTTTATACTTTGTTTTATAGATGGATTTTTTTTTAACTGTAGTTTGTTTAAGTCACCAAGCAGTGTCCAAAATCTTAATGTGTTTCATTTGATGTTGTTAGATCAGAGAAGAAATTGGCATAAAATCGGTTAATAGTATTGTCAAAGAATTGTGTATTGTGTACTCACTGGGAAAAAATAAAATATATTCACATTTCAAATTTGTAGAAAAGCCATTTATGTAAAACAAACTTGTTTGTAGACATGCCAGAACAAGACCAGGTGCCACTTTTAGAACTCTGCATTAATATTTTGTGACTAAATGCATAATCTGTTTCTCACTCAGTTATGGTTTGAAGAGTGACATAGGAATTGGTGTTGACATGTAGAAGTGACTAACAGACACTGATGAAGAACATAGCAAGCATTTGAAATATAGACCCCATTCTATCAGCACTGCTACTTTCCCTATACCATGAAGACCTTTAGACAGATTTAAAACAAATATCTTATTTTTGAAAGTATAAGTAAATCAGAAAATTGAGGGAAAATGAATTTTTCTCAATTACTTTAGAAGAGCTAATTATAAATTTCTTTTATTTTGGATGTTTTATGTTGGATGTTGAAAAGTTATCTCAGGGACTGAGGAGAAAAGAAAAATGCCCCATTTTATTACATTTTATAAATATTTTATTCTTTTTCACTGCTAAGTACAACTATAGGCTCAATTTTTTTTTCCAAAAATAAAGAGAGGCAATTTCTGTGTTCTTTAAAATAATAATACTAATGACAGGAAAAAGGAAAAAGATTATTGTTAAATCCTGAAATGCTCATTTAAATATATTTTTAAAAATACAAGGTTTAGGACAACACATTTTAGAGTTTCATTTAATTATTAATAAGGTGAGAAAAAAATAATATTACTATAGAGACAAATGATGTTGCATTAATGTAATACAGTAACAAAATATATATGATTAAAGATGAAGTATGTCAATATGATAAATGGTAGGACAATTATGAAACAACTGCTCCTTTATGGAATTTGTGTATAAAATGGAAAAAGTGTAAAATTATCAGAAAGGTTTATTAAAGTAATACACTACAATCTCTCGATTACTGGATAGATTAGCTGGAGAAAAGACATATTAATGTTGCACAAAAGCACTTGAACAAGAAATTATACTTAATGTCCTCCGTTTTTTAAAATGTGATTTTATCTCTTCCGGAAAGAAGCAGAGTTCACACTAAACTTCATTTCATGGGAAAGATGCGAAATAAAACTGTACAATAATACAAAACCAAGTTTTAAAAGTTCAAAACAATACTCCAGTACAAAAGCTAGCAGGGAGGGGAGAGAATCTGTTATTTCCAAAAGTTTGTAAAGATTGTTATCACTTTGATGAATTTAATGCAGTCTCAGTTTTGACCTTCAGCTTCTTAGGCACAGACAAAAAGTCTGACCTGTAAGAGTGCTGCAAAGCTGTCAAGAATCCCAAAGACAGATGCAAGACAATTATCCAGCTGTGTGTTTAATATGAAAAACTAGGTGACTGGTCTCTGCATCTTCCAGTCAAAACATTTTCTCCTTGCGGTAGTTGAGCTATAAGAGAAAATAAACAAACACAAAAAAACCCAGCTGGGCACTGTGGCTCACCCCTGTAATCTCAGCACTTTGAGAGGATGAGATGGGTGAATCAAGCCCAGGAGTTTGAGATCAGCCTGGACAACATGGCAAAGCCCCGTCTCTACAAAAAAAAAAAAAAAAAAAAAACTGGCCAGGCATGGTGGCACGCATCTGGAGTTCTACCTTCCAGGGAGACTGAGGCAGAAGGATCACTTGAACCCGGGAGGTCCAGGTTGCAGTGAGCAGTAATTGTGCCACTGCACTTCAGCCTGGGTGACAGAGTGACACCTTGTCTCAAGTAAATAAATACATACATACATAGAAAAAGAAAAAAGAGAAATACATGTATATTTCCAAGATATCTGATTATCTATTACCAAAATATTATCAAGATTTATATACGCATGTATTGCAGATATCTTAGTAATCAAGGAAAGCTACCTTTGTGAGTCAAATAGAATAATCCTGTGGCTCATGTCAATATTCATAACCAGAAATTTGCAGGCCACTGCAACTGTTCTTAAACCGTAGTACCATAGCATCCTTCACCTAGAAAACACCTTGATGGATATAACCTCTGGGTCATAGACAACAGTTTTTTGGACAAATTTTAGAAAATGTTTTTCTGGACAACACTTCTGAGTAATTTGTTTCTAACAAATCTGGGTTTTTGTTTCTTTATTCATTTACTTTGCAAGCAAATTTTGAGACACTGTGCTAAGAATTAAATATTCAGATAAGTAAAAACAGCAACAAACTTTGCCTTCATAAATAAATAATATATGCTGTTAATTCCTTCCCTGATTTCTTGCCTAGAAATTTTTGATGAATGTTTTGAAGCCAAGAGCCAAGAGCCAATAAGCAAGACCTTCAAATAGATTTCCAAGCAGTAAAATTTGTATTAGCTTCACTCAAACCCTCCATACCCACCATAAAATCTATGTTCTAGTCTTTCTCAAAAGTAGTCTACAGGATTTTAATGGTATTTTTTAAAGATAATGACACTGAAGTTCCATAGTTGAATATATGAAGAAATTTCTTTACTACTTGAATCCTTTACAACTCTGTTCAAATCTTATATGACATAAAATCCTCTGTCCTGGAGCATCTTAGGAAACAGGACTATGTAAAATCCACTTTAAAATATAGTCTCCTAGGAAGTATCATGCTTTATCCTGCCCCCTAGACTCTCTATTAGTGGCCCCAAAGGCTTTGCATGCCATGTCTTACTGTGGTCTTTTAAAAATCAATATTAAGTCATGGGAAAGAATCATTCAAATTCTAGGTATACTGTGCAGATGATAAAAGAAAAGTGCAGTGAGAGATTCATTAATTAAATTATGTTTCCAAGCCTTATTTGAGATCAGTGCTCAGTCCTGCAGCAACAGGTATGATTGCATCGTGTTCTTTAGTTTTTCTACAGTGCTTTTGTGTATTGTCAGCTCTTGAAATCATTAGGCTAAAACTAAAGCATGGGCCGGGCGTGGTGGCTCACGCCTGTAATCCCAGCACTTTGCGAGGCCAAGGCGGGTAGATCACGAGGTCAGGAGATCAAGACCATCCTGGCTAACATGGTGAAACCCCGTCTCCACTAAAAATACAAAAAACTAGCCGGGCGAGGTGGCGGCGCCTGTAGTCCCAGCTCCTCGGGAGGCTGAGGCAGGAGAATGGCCTGAACCCGGGAGGTGGAGCTTGCAGTGAGCCGAGCTCGTGCCTCTGTACTCCAGCCTGGGCCATAGAGCAAGACTCTGTCTCAAAAATAAATAAATAAATAAATAAATAAATAAATAAATAAAATAAAAATAAAGCATGGAAATATACCTACTATCTCCTCCCACCCCTAGCTACGGACCTTCAATCAGATTTCAAAAGTATAATATATTTTGAAAGATTTCACAAAAAGATAACTTTTTAAAAGCTACTGTCTGATTATTAATAAGTTCTACCTGAAGTGATACTTAAAATAGTAGTGAGTAACACGAAATGTAGGAAAAGGGGGCTTATAGTTTCTCATTAAGATAATACAGAGATAAGTACCAGTGGAATTTGAAATACAGCTAACTAGTAATGACGAAAATTCATATATTCAGAAATGGTTAAATATAGAAGTAAAAAGGGAAGACAAGGATAACCATTACATGAACTTTCACTGGCTATGAGGACAAAAGAAGTGAGAGAAGTTAAAGTGGGATGTGAGAAGTAAGAGTTTAAATTTACTTGATTAATTTTGAATGATGGTAGACTGATGCAATCAATATATTAACATGTCCCAACATAGGTAATGTGAGAACAGTTACGGATGGGCAATGAATGGTTATTCTAATGAAAAAGAGGGAACAGACAAATGGTGGCAGACTGAAAAAAGGACACACTAGAATACTATCTATGCAACTTAAGAGAAGGAACTACAACATTCTCAATAACTGTGCAAGCATCTCTTGTGCAAATAACCACCCACCAAGAATTAAGACACTGTTTCTATCAATGTTGGTGATGCTATGTTTTTCTATCTTATACTACTACTATACTAAAAATGTATAAAACAAATCCCATATACTTATGACAACAGAGTGTACATTTAAAGAAATATGTGTGTTAAATGTCCATAGGAACGAATTCCCACTAAAATCATTTGAATAGTTACTATTTAAAAGTTGAAGCTCATGCACAAAGATATTTTAGATTTGTTCTAATATTCCAAGTGAAAAGAATTATAAAACTTAAAATGTAGTAAGTAGCCAAAAAATGTATTAGGAGATACACACATATATGCATACTCATGCACATATACAAATATAGAAATGTACATACGTAAAAATAATTTTCATTCATTAGAATCCATCCAAGATAGGATGGGGACTGAAAATACCCATATTTGCAAAGTATGGAAAAAGTGAAACCTAACAAGAACTATGGGGATTGAGACAAATATCATAGACTGAATAATACTTCAAATAATCTCTATTTCTCCTAGGCAAATTACATGGGTGCATTTACATGTATACATATGTATACATACACTTATGTACACATGCAGAGTCATCCTTCAAGATCCACAAAGGACTGGTTCCAGAATTCCTACCAAAATCAGTGGATGCACCTTAAATAAAACGGTGTAGCACTTGCATATAACCTACGAACACCCTCCTCTATACTTCAAATCATCTCTGCATTACTTACAGCAT